CAGCAACCCGGCCCCAGGCTCAAAAAGGTTGCCTACGCCTGATTTAATCCATATGTGAAGTGATGAGATGTCTACAGAACAGTGGTGTCTATATATTAGCAGTACTATGTTAGTTATGAAACAGTATTAGGTAACAAATTCAAAGACTTCTTTGCATGTATTTTAGTCCTTGTCTTAAAAATGACTTAAGTTGCCATTCTTGTTCTTGGAATGCCAAGTCCAAGAAATCAGATGGCAAGCTTTTCACATTTTGTTGTAAGGCAACACGATCATACAGTGAGAACAGAAATACTCTGGGGCTAATACCCCCCCCCCCACTAAACTACAATCTTATATGATCCTTTCAAGAGACCATGGCACATACTCCAGATGTCTTTTGGAGCTTTATGAGTCAGAAGGCTAAGATCTTTACCTTCGTTTTTCCTACAGCAAATGAACTAAAAGTATCACTGTAAAGGGATAAAAAGTCACATCCAATCTGCCTATTAGCCACATAAAATACCATCCAAATTAAAATACTCACTTAATCCCTGTTGTCAGAGTTCCCATACTCCAGAGTCACATACACACACCCTGACAAAGAAAGATACTCTAGCAAACCTATACATTTAGTAAGCAGTAAATAAATAAGAGAGCATTTTGGTTTGTGCCCTGACCCACCCATCAGTCACAGCCCTATCCTAGGGGCTGACTCCTAGAAGCTAACCTCATCTACCATTTCTGTATTGTCCTTGCTGCTAGCATTGTCACTGTTCTACAAGACTTGCTTGTCAATGGAGAGCTGCTGAAAGCAATTTCAGCGACAGAATCCAATGTGCAAAAGATTTACATCTATTCACTGGAGAAATATGGAGTCATCAAGCTGTTAAAACTGAGATATTGAAAATGCTGAATAAAAATGATTCTGAAACCCACCCACCCGACATAACCCATTGAGATATTGAAAAAAATGCTGGTGGTTGGTGGTAGGGGGGCAATTATAACAAAGTTCTTTAGAGATGGGAATCAGGCAGCCATCTAGATAGGGTTTCAGGGCTTGACCACCAGGACTCAGGGCAAGGGGAGGCATCTCAGGGTAAGAGCACTACCTTGAAAACATATTATTTAACTTATGTGCTCTTGGTCTCCAGACTTCCAGGCTGGAATGGCCACTGTAGACTCTGCAGAGACCTCATTTCATTCTCATCTCATTTTATACACTCATATTCCTTATTTTAATGACAGGTGCTGAGCAATTGTAGTTGATGCTTTATGTTCATATTTAATGACATGACCAAACCCTGCATGACCAAATATCAGCAGGCACTGTCCTTAGGTATCAGAATTAGCTCCTGAAATCTCAGGGCCTGGGATGCTCCTGACCTCACAACCCTACTTCCAGATGATGCTGGACTACAGCTTACAGCTTTCTTCACACTTGCCTATGCTGGTTTGGTCTGACCTCATTATTCTTTTCATGTTTTAAACAAAAGGAGCAACTAATAACATTATCTTAACAGTTCCAGGGGAGTACTGGTGTAATTCCTAATACATATTACTGAACATGTATGTCAGTAACAATTAGAGTATTTTGCACTTGTGCTGGCAATACAATAATAATTGTGGCATAGCACTTGTTAAGAAAGTGTCACACAAAATAATTCTGTTGGGGGAAAAGTACAACAACATGCATTTGTTACAATTTCTTGTTTATAAAACACATCACAGTACATGGCATTTCAGTGTTTAATAGGCAAGAAAAGAAATCTCTGCCCCAAGGAACAAGAGGGAGGGAGAACAAAAGGATGGGCGACACAAGCACAATAAACATCAGCAGTTGCAATTAAAATGAACTTAGGTCTCATTGTATTTGGGAATAAATATTATTAAGTGGTTTTATACATGGAGGGTGCTTAAATACCCTAAACGTAACACCTGTCTAATCTTGCAAGCTAAGCAGGGTCAATCCTGGGAAGTTTCTTTGTACACTTTTCTTGGTTTGCTCTGGGATGCCCAGTGCCAGAAATGATAAGAAAAGGTCTAGAGAAAGAAAGAAAGAAAGAAAGAAAGAAAGAAAGAAAGAAAGAAAGAAAGTGGTAGCATGAGCTTTCATTGACTTATATCTGAGGAAGCAGATTCAAGTCTATGAAAGCTCATGCTACCAGCTTCTTTATTTCCATTAGTCTCCAAGGAACAAACTTTAGCTTAGAGAAGACAGAGAGGTGATATAATAACTATATTTAAACATCCCTGAAGGGATGTCAAGTAGGAGATGGAGCAAGCTTGTTTTCTGAACAAATGGTTCAAATTACAAGAAAAGACATTCTATCTAAACATTAGGAAAATCTTCTTGAGGGAGAGAACCATTTGACAGTGGAAAATATTGCACTGAAGGGTAGTGGGCTCTCCTCCTTAAGAAGTCTTTAAACTGAGGTTGCATGGGCCTTATTTATTTATATATTTATTTATTTTCTATCCTGCCTTTCTCCCCAAAAAGATGCCAAGGCAGCTCACAATATAAAACACATTAATACAACATTTTAAAAAACAATTAAAATAACCTGATTAAAACACTGCAAAGTTAAAATGTAAAACATACAAAAGTTAAAAAACATACTGTAATCTAGAGCGACAACCCCCCAAATAAACCAGGTTTTCATTAATTTTAAAAAGCTTGCTTGCACAGGAATGTTTTTACCTTCTAGCCTCCTGTGGAAGGGAGTTCACAGAGTGGGAGCAGCCACCGAGAAGGCTCTCCCTCATGTCCTCACCAGGTGAACCTATGATGGTGGTGGGACCGAGTTAAAGCCTTCTCCTGAGGATCTTAGGGCTCTGGCTGGTTCGTATGGGGGAGATACGGTCTTTCAAATAGTCTGGACCCAAGCCATGTAGGGCTTTATAAGTCATGACCAACACTTTGAATTGTGCTCTGAAATGAACTGTTAGCCAGTGAGGCAGGAAGTTGAACTAGATAGAATTGTAGTCTTTTGCAACTCTATGTAATTCCATAGAATTGCTACATGCACTACTTTCACTGAAAACATATTTATTTTTAGTGGGGTAGTCAATATCAGAGCCAGGATGGTGTAGTGTTTTGAGTGCTGAATACTGGGGACCAGGGTTTGAATCCTGGCTTGGCCATGAAAAACCACTGGGTGGCCTTGGGCAAATCACATCCTCTCAGCCTCAGAGGAAGGCAATGGCAAACCTCCTCTGAACAAATCTTACCAAGCAAACCCCATGATAGGTTCGGTTAGGGTTGCCATAAGTTGGATACGACTTCAAGACACACCATCACCACCACCAAGTCAATATCATAGTCAATTTAGTCCCTTTGCATTCAGTATCAATAGTCAACACCATATCAGTTTTATATATAAACTTACCAATAATTGCCTATATATGAGTGGAAAGATTTTCTTAATAAATAATTTTATTTTATTTAATTTCAGCTATTTTTTACTTTGTATTACAGACATGTAGCCAATTTTAATGTCTTTTTAATCTAAAAAAATGACTAAGCTCCCCATTAAAATTTACAAAACATAAACAAAACAAAAAGAAGTACAGTCATTTAAACACTTGGCCATCCATCCCAGTGCAATCGTTCACCCCTGCCTGCCCTTTCCAAAAAGTTGTGCATGCTTCTTAGGATGGTCCAGCTTGTATCTGAGTCCCTACTATTTTTAAAGAAAAGCCAGTCTCCTTTCTTCCCTTTCCTTCTTTTCTTCCAGCTATTGTTGACATTCTAGTAACTCAGGAGACGCCAATTCAATGTGTGAGTCTATGAAAACCACACAGCAAAATGATCAGAGTGCTTTGTGGTGCGACTGTGGGGAATGGATGGATCAGTTTATGGCCTAATGTCTCTTCATGTGGTTGATCCAAGAGACACAGACCACCAGAGGAGACTTTGTCACACTTCAGGATGCCTGGGAAATGTGGTGGGAATGCTGGAATTCTTTTTGTTCTAAAATGAACAGCTCAATAAAAATCACATGCTTTGTTCTGAAAGAGAAACTTTAAAAATCCCCAACAACTCAGGAGTACTTATAACTTAGGACTCCACACTTTAAAGTTACGTGCTTATTGGGCTCAAGTCATTTCCAATTATGACAACCCCAGGCAAACCTATCGTGGGG